ATTTCTCTTTGATCAACAGGCTTCAACTTAAAAGGTTAAGGCGCCTCGGATCCAGGTGATGGATGAACCATACCTTTTTAGTTATGCTGCTATGGCGCCAGAACTATCCGGGGAGGCGGCCGGCGTTTTCCCATGGTGCTCTGAGCCTCCTCTCTTCGTCTCTCTCCTCTTTCTGCCACTCCCATTCATGTCCCAAATTATGCATGCTTACTCTAAACTCCACTTCTTCCCCCGGATTCTTGCGTGGCCCTCTTGTCTCCGTCTCCAGGTTCTTATCGATCGCTGGTCGGAAGCCTCCCCTCGTCATGGTCCTGCTGGTTGCCCATGTGACCAACCAAATACTGTTTGCTTGCTGTGCACCTGTCTGTCTGTCCTTGTCTGTCTCTCTCTCCTGTCTCTTGTCTGTCTCTCTCTCTGCCTCTTTCTCCTCTCCTCACCCGCCAAACCTGGTTGAGACAGACGAACACCCCACCTACGAAAAAAAAGCCCCAAAGGGGGTTCTTGTCATAGGTTCTCTGCCTGTTAAAAGGCAGTTTTTCCTTGGCCCTTGTTGGCCGAAGTGTGCTTGCTCCATCGGTGGTACTGGTTTGGTCCTCCTGTAAAATGTTAACAGGACGTTCGGTCTAGGACGCTGCTCCTATTTGACAAGTGTCTGAGATAACTTCTGTTTGAACTTGGCCCGCTATACAATTAAAATTGAATTGAAAATGTGAATAAAAACAAGTGATGTACTATTTAAACTATAACAAATGGTCTAAAGTGCAAATATTAACCTATACAAATTCATGTTTAAAAAACATTGGTCAGTCACCTTAAACCTGTCTTCAGCTTTAATGTCTAGTGTGAACAATAAGCAAGTGATAATACCAGAAATTAAATTTTAGATATATAGATAGATTGTTAATAACAGACACATGCTATATGTAGAGTGTACAATGATAAAGTGTATTGTACAGGGGACCAGTAACAGAAGTCAGTACAGTACAGTATGTCTAAATATGATATTCTATCATTTCACAATGCAGACCTAACTTGGAAAATTCACATCACATATCAACAAAACAAAATTTAAATTGTGAGTGTAAGGTATTCAGTTATTCATGGAGAGTTTCACTTTCCATCCAGGGATCAGTTTCAGTTCCTCTGAGCTGTGACACAGACTCTGGGGCCTCTCTGTGGCCGCTGTTGGTACTACTATTTGGACAAACTTCATTGAGGTTCAGTGTTATTTTATCTCAAAACAAAGTTCACTGTTTTACCTTGTAAATATGATCAACACCCCTCTCTTATATGGAGAGGATTATTGTATCCAGATGTAACTCACTGTTTACTCTAAACAGCTGTTTTATAAGCAAAAGTATATTTTGGACTACAATTTTTCTTAATTTAATCACAGTCCATCTGATCTTTGACTCTTTGGATTGTACTATAGTACTCACAGATAGTACAGAGACAAACAGGAACCTACAGCCTCTAAATAATCACATAAAACACATCTCTGTGGGTGAGATTTTTACTGATTTCTTGATATTAAACTGAACAAGGGCCCTACATTGTTTGGACTACCAGACAAATATACATTCCAAGAGATTTCTGTGTATCCTTACTTTCTGAACAAGCAAAAATATATTGTTGCAATGGACAGCTGACATACAAGTCTAAGTGTAGGATTAAGATATTCTATAAGATTTGTTCCCTGATTGTAGATTGTATTGGTAGTAGACTGGCAGCCATTGTTGAAGGGTCTGGTGGATCACAGTGATGCTTTACTGTGCAGGAATGTGAGACTTGGATGATGGTTTTTCGTGTTTTCGTGGCCACTGTAGTTTCATCTTCGCACTTGGAGGGGGAGGGTTAAGTAAGCAATGCAACTACACTATTAGATGCCACTAAAGGCTACACACTGGATCTTTAAGCATATCACTTCACAGCAAATGTGGCCTAACAAATCATTAAATTATATGTGTTAATTTCCGTTTTTAACACGCAATTTTAGGAGCAGCAGCTGACACCATATGTAATCCTTCTAGATCCGCCCTGATTATCCTATCTTATCTTATCTCATCTCATTTCATATTATATTGTGTTCATATTTTATCATACTATTTTCTCCATTAATCGATTGAACTTTTTTGGAAAATGATGAGAAATGCCATCACAATTACCAAGTGACACCTTCACAAAGGTGACATCTTTGTTTGGGTAATATTTAGGTCCCCATCTTAAAACCGAGATCAGCTTTGTTGATCAGTGTTGAGGCTGCCAGCACACAGTCGAGGCAAAAGACTTTTAATGTGTGAAATTTTATGTTGCTATTTTCAGTTAGGAATCAAATCACACATATTTCCCACAATCCTTGAACACAGCAGGCGAGCGGAGCCGCGTTTCCCTCCGCCCTTCTCCGATATTCCCCGAAACAACCCGAGCCTTTGCGAAAAGTAACTCGTGGTCTCATTTCATTGGCGGCGTGCTCGTCCAATGGGCTGCGGCCATCTGTGCACGACTCGTCGCTGTTGAAATTCTCAGGTTACATTTCCTCCAGCCTTTATTAGCTGCTTTCTCCACAAAGCTCTCCTCTTTATCTGCTGCTGCCGGACACAAGCCGCCGACATGAAGCTTCCAGTGGCCATTCTCGCTGTTTTTGCGACGATAGCTGTCACTATCGATGCCACCGTCTACTTCAAGGAGCAGTTTCTGGATGAAGGTGCAGTATAGTCACTTCCACCTCTGCTTGTCCTGTGTTTGAATGACTGTGCTGTCAGAGTGGCCGCCTTCAACAGGGTCCTTCGATAGTTTCTCTTCAATATCTGCCCTCTTAAACTAAATCTTTCTCTCCCTGCTTTCATTTAAGCCGTCATGACAAGCCAGGCCACTGTTCGTCTGTTAGTCAAATAAGAGATCATGTTAGCTTAAAAAAACAGCTAAAGTAGTGTAATAGCAGTGAATGTTAGAATAATGGAGGTTGTGTGGATTTAGTCGAGCTGTAGGGACGGTAGGGGCTGTAGCAAATGATTCATAAGTTGACATCGTGTGAGTCGGAATATTCTTTCACTTTTGATATTGAGCTGAGACGCATTTAGAGCCACATACACACTGTCCTCTAACAAGTTCGAATAAAAGCGCAACTTCGAAAAGACTATGTTAAAAAAGTATTAAATAAGTATTAAAATCTTCATTAAAAACAGTAATAGCAGTTGTAAATGAGACCCCTCCCCACCAAAAACCCCTCTGCAAATGCAGTAGGACTGCAACTAACAGTGATTATCTTTTATTGTTTCATATACATTTTCTCGATGAACCGATTAGTTTAATCCATAAAATGTCACTGTCCTCAAATGTTTTGTCCACAACCCAAAGATATTCAGTTTACTGTCCTAGAGACTAAAGAAAGCAGAAAATATTCACATTTGAGAAGCCAAAATCTGAGAATTTTGACATTTATTTAGAAATCAAACACATCAAAATAGTTTGCAATTAATTTAATAGTTGACAGCTAATTGATTGATAGACTAATCACCGCTATAGCGACAAAGTTGAATTTCATCTGATCTACCCTTATCTACAAGCGCACACAATTATTTCAGGTAAAATGTTCTGCGTTTTCTGTTTTTCCAATATAAAAAGTAGAATAATGTAATAGTTCCTGCAGCTCTAAAATGCAGTACAGCAATTTTAAGTTTGTGTGTGGAACACACAGTGTAATAGAATAGAATAGAATGC